TGGGGCTGGCACCCTACTCCTTGAGCCACAGGTGCCACAGGTGCTAGTTTCTTTTTTTTATAGACAAAGTTTAGATATGTTGCCCAGGCTGGCCTTCAACCTGTGGCCCCAGCTGATCCTCCTGTCTCACTCTCCCAAAGTGCCAGGATTTGCCACATCCAGTTTCCCTTCCTGACTTGCAATAAGGACTATCATCCTTGCACTTAGGGAAACCCCTAGTTTCTTGAAAATTTCAAGCAGGAAGATGGAGGACATAGCCCCAGAGGACAGCAGTAGAGTTTTTACTAAACCGGACTTTTCAAGACCTGATAAGAAATTATAAAAATCAAATATATGGTGTAATTTTTCTCCCCACGAACAGGGGTTATACTTGGAATGAAAGGAACAATGTTGGGATCCTTCGTAAGGATGAGATAAAGAATCCTGCAGCCGGGGTGGCACCTGTGGCCCAAGGAGTAGCACGCTGGCCCCATATGCTGTGGGTGGCGGGTTCAAGCCCAGCCCCAACCAAAACTGCAAAAAGAAAATAGATGAAAACCTCTTTAAAAAAAAAAAAAAAGAATCCTGCAGCCATTGCTATTTCTAAGTAGTCTAGTCTTTTGCTTGATTTCTGGCTGAAGAAACAGACTAACTTACTGTGATTCTCAAGCTACCTGAACCAAACTATGAAATCTCACCTAAAGGATAACAATAGTTATTTTTTTTTTTTTTGTAGTTTTTGGCTGGGACTGGGTTTGAACCCACCACCTCCAGCATATGGGGCCAGTGCCCTACTCCTTTGAGCCACAGGTGCTGCCCAAGAATGACAATAGTTTTAATTACGTCAAAATTCAATTTAGTGTTAACTAGTTTTTTTTCATGTAAAAACTTACCTGTTGTCATCACTAGCAAGAGGGCAATCTTCCTCAGTCTGTCCTGAGAGATCTTTGGAGGGGGCATCAAGACTTCGTTGAAGAAGATTGATTATATGCTCATCTGTCGCAAGCACAACAGCTTTTTTTTTTTTTTTT